TGGCCCAAATTTTTTTTTGGGAACCAACAAGGGGGGGGCCCAAATTTTAGGTCAGAGAAAAAAACGTAGGAAAAAAATTTTGGGCCCCTAAAAGGCAAAAGTGGGCCCAAATTTTGAGGCCAATTTTCTTCAAAATTTGGCCTGAATTTGAAAAATAAGGCCTTAAAAGGCCCAGTAATGACCAAAAAGGCCGACTTTTTGGGGCCTTAAGGCCTTTTTTGGCCCAAAATTTTTTTTTGGGCCCAATTTTTTTTTCTGGGCCCACCCAAGGGGAAAGACCTCCCACCCGAGGATTGGGAGGTCTTTCATTTATTAATTCTAAGATATAAGTGTACTGAGCAGTGGGTGCATAAACATTATACGCATTCGGCAATCATTTTAACAAGTGAAATCAGACGACGCTCGCAGTAAATATTTCCCAATGTTTGTGTTTACACAGTCGCATTTGAAAACTAAAGCAGTATTTTAAAAATCTAAAACGATTCAATTGCGATTTAGAGTTTCTAGTTTTTGATTATGTGCATTTGAATTACATTCATATATAAATGAAAAAATTATAGTCCCAAGGTGAAAATATGACTATAGAAAAATCAAATGTCAAGGTCAAATCGTACATTTTATAAATGTAACAAAATGTAGCAAACTGGAAAGTACTTTAAAAGCATAGGACTTTTACAATCGCGTGGACGTATTAGTACAGCAGTGCACATTCTCCAAATAAATGGCTCAGGCTTTCTCCATTGATGTTTAGTGGTTACATTATTATTAACATAGATATACTGAATCTGGAGGCATCATTTTGTACAGGGCAATTGTGATCAGCGCTCGTAGTGGTGTTCAAAATTTCGTCACTTTTTTATCACTGTGTTTTCAAGCTTTGGTCTTTGGTAAGAGGCTATCGATTGTGTAATCATCATGAATATTTAATTATCTAAGATGCACAACCATGGGCCCTTTAACCATAAGGCCTTTAAATATAATTCACATACTATAATACCAGTTGCCATTTTGTATATCTTAAGTGGGCTTTATATATTTAATGATTTACATCAGCAAGCAATCATTCATAAAAATGAAAAATGTCCCAATAAAGAATCATGTCTAACTAGACAACAGCAACGCCAAAGCATAGCAAATACCATCGAACAGCCATGGCTAACATTTTAACGAACAAAGTATATAGCAAAAATGGCAGCCATTTTGCAAAATGACCACCTTCTACCACAAGTGTCATTAGACAGTGTGCCATGCTTATAGTATGCACATACCAAATATGAACAGAATCGCTCAGCTTCTTTTCGAGTTATAGTAAAATAGGATAAAATGGTGGCCATTTTGAAAAATGTCTGCCTTCTACCAAAAGTGTCATTAGACAGTGTGCCATGCTTATAGTATTCACATACCAAATATGAACAAAATTGCTCCACTTCATTTCGAGTTATAGTAAAATACATTAAAATGGCCACCATTTTGAAAAATGGTTGCCTTTTACCAAAAGTATCATTAGACAGTGTGCCATGCATATAGTATTAACATAAAAAATATGAACAAAATTGCTCCATTACTTTTCGAGTTACAGCAAAAATCATAAAGTAGCGAGTAAAGGCCGTCATTTTTCAAGATGGCTGCCATGTCTTCTTTAAGATCTACATTTCTAGCTTTATTGATGTCCTATATAATTTTTTTAAATTTAAAACATATTGCTATTACAGTTGTACATATTGTACCTAAATTACTGTAAAATCGGCATTAAAATGGCTGCCATTTTTGAATGAGCGGCCATTTTGAAAATCGGCTTTCGAGCAGAACTTCTACCCCCATAGGGTTTATGTTTACAAAATATGAACAAAATCAAGCCAACAGTATTTGAGTTATTGTCCGGACGGACGGATGGATGGAAGGACAAAGGCGTTCCCTTTATCCCCCCGAACTTCATTTCGATGGGACATATTAAATATAATCCCAACATGTGTGTCAAAAGTCTGAAAGCTAATTTTCTAGCTCCTTTGGATCGATTCATGAGTCTCATAACATAAGTATGATTGGGTATTCAAATGAGGGCACCATCTTGTCGTCTATACTTCAGTCTGGTGATACACATCTGGTTAGAAACTTTATGGTGAGCTCCAATCACCAACTCTCCATTTGAATTGGGTTCTGCACTGAAAACCGCACAATCCTTCATGTTTGCTGTGGACAAGTCCTTCAGGTAGACACCTTCTGGTGAAAGAAGTTCAACAGTGTTTTTGTTACGATTGACCACAATAATGTTATCTGAATTGTCCACACTAGAAAACATGTTGTATTCTGAATAACGATGAGGTATATACTCAATGAACTTTTGAGCAATGTTATCAACCAAATGGATTCCAAGAAGTCCACCATTGTAAGACATGATGATATCATTCTTACTGTTCACAGACATGGTGCAACTTCCTTTGGGCTTTATCTTTGCTTTAAGATCTATTTTGCACTGGCTTATCTGTCCTCCAGTGTTTGAGTCAATGTGAAATATTTCAAAGTTCTGGGTCAATATAACAAATTCTGAACGATTATTCATCACATAATTCAGTGGCAAAGAAATGGGATTTTGAAGAGATACTTTTCTTTGAAGACTTCCATCTTTCAGTTTGTAGATACTGATAGACCTCAGGATGGTTCCTACTTCAAACCAAATTGCAAAGCAGTCATCATGCACATTATCCCAAGCACCAGTTAACTTAGGGAAGTTAACTGAACCTTTTGGTTTCAAATCATTATCATAAAATTTGGCCTTTCCATTTCCAATGGCTACAATCTCATCCTCGTGAAGAAAAGTGATAGCTTTGTAAATGCCTTCAATGACTGTGTGCTTTTCAACACAATCTTCTTTGACATAAGTAACTTCATAAGTCTCTTTAGAACAAGGACTGGGTCCATCATCTTTATTATCAGTCTTGTCCAAATTGATACTTGGGGGACTAGACCATGCTTCTTGTTTGCTATTCATCTCAGGAATCATGCTTACAATGTCAGCATGATGACCATGATCCTGGAGAGCTTCTAACTGTTTGACAGAACCATCAATCGCATCTTTGTTGAACTGGAGTTCAGCCAAATGAGCAATAATGTTTTTTGTGGATGCACTGGCAGCTGCCATAGTGTCTGTCACCATTTTGTTAAACCGGGCATTTATTTTATCAATTTCAATCTTTCGATCTGCTGCAAGCCTAGTTTTGGTAACTTCTTTCTCTCTTTCAATTGTTTGCATGCGGACATGACCTTTCTGTATTCCTGCCTCATACAGAGCTGACCTTTGCCTTCCAAGGTCAATTACTGCGCTCAAGTTCTTTAAGTTTGCTTTTGCAGTTTGTTCAATGTCCTCCAATGGATGACCTTGGTGTTTGAACGCAAAACAATCTTGACAGATAAGACGTTTATCTTTTAGACAGAAGTACTTCAATGGTTCTTTGGTATGTACTTCACAGTACAAAGTTCTCTGTGATAACATGTTAATTGCTGTTTTTGCATCTCGGGACCTGTCACCACTTTACTCTAGCACCTGGTGTGATTTTGTAAAACGTGACAATTTATGTGCACGCCCACATGATTTGCAAAGCTTTTCATTGCATTCCAGACATTTCGATATGGCAGGAACATGTTCATCAACTTGCAGACAGATATCACAGTTCAAAGCATCTCTCGATGCTGCAGAACGATCCTTAACTGCATCCAAAACAGAATTAGCGAAAAAGTTCACCTTCAATCCTGCAGCCCCTTGATCAGGTATAGGGCAAAGGTCCCTGCAGTTTGGGCAGGGAAAATCTTTCTTATCCCGATGTTTGTCTATTGTACTCTGTATACATTTCCTGCAGTAACTATGCATACATGGCAGAGATCTAGGATCATCTAACACCTCCATACATATAGAACATGTCACTGTTTCGATCAAAGGATCAATATCACTATCCAGTTTTGCCGTCGCCATTTTCAGTCCATTAGTTGTGAGGATTTCAACCTTTCTTGTCATGTGACGCTGATAATGCATTGTGTATTTATTTAACAACCAATCAAGTGCATTCTTTTTTTCAAACATTTTAATAAGTGATAATAACTGACAAATAACTTGAGACTAGACAGTATGAAAGAAGTTACTACATGCTTTTAATAATTAACAAAACAATCAACTTCGAACATTAAAGGAGAGAAACAATAAGTCAAAGTTTTAAGCAGCTACATAAGTGGTTTATAAAGTTAAACATTATGGGTGGTTTATAAAATTACACCTTGGACATGTCTAAAGTACATTGAAATATTAAGGCCACATTTATCATGTAAAGTTTGAAAATTTGTTAATATCATCCAAATATAATTTGACATGCCTTCAAAAATTGCGTGACAACTTAAAAACACATAAAACAGTTTTTAGTGAAAAACAAACAAAAGTAATCTATTTTAAATGCTGTACTGTACTCTGTAATATATATATATATGAAAAGATTTCAAAATTATGACATCAGAGCATCTGATGCACCATTCAAAAGTTTGTGTGAGACCCCCCTCCACAAGAGCATGTATGGAGTATTTGACAAAAAAAATTGGCCTGTCTAATACCTTACCCTGGGGCCAAATACTTCTATGTTTTTAGGGACTTTTCAACTTTTCCCTCTTAAATTTATGATTTTCATAATTTTGCCTGTTGTTTTTATTTATTTTGCCTGTTGGGAGAAATTCTCAAGAAACTGCAGGGTATGTCTGGGACGTTCTCAATGTAAAATACAAATATTAAAGATTAACCAAAATCATTAGTGTTGATTAACATACTGTTTGATTGCATTATTTGTGTTTTTTCTATCCCTTAAGTTGTACAACCTCCAAGTGAAGGTGAGATGATTTCTAAAAAGATTGCTTCCAGCATTTTACACTCTTTATCCCTTCGAATTCCTTTTTATATAAACTGTTCACATTTCGAGGTGTTTCACTGAAAGAGATATGTAATAATATAAAACATTTTGACTTACCCTGAGTTTTAAGGGTGCTATAGTTTTAACTGTTCCACTCCAGATATCTTTTATGAGATCTCCATAGCGCTGGGCAACATGACCTTTCATGCCTAATGGGTTATCTCTGAAATAAGATACATAGCAGTTACAAACGAGGGATAACATGCAAAATGTCACCACCTGCCATTTGTTAAAGATGCTGAACATCGACGGCCAAACACACATGGCCAACTGCCAAACATAATGTACTCCCTCTATGCCCTTATTCATTATGTGTACGGATTAGTACATAAACGCATGCTTGATTTCCAATAAAGAATGATGCAGGATTCCTTACTCCTGAAGTAACTCAAAGAAATAGCTACATACGGCACATGGAAATACCACTTCTTACAAAAATTAACAAAAAAGAAAAAAAAAAGAAGAATATCAGCACTTATCTTTAATTAACATAACTGGATAACAAAACCAAAACAATACACATGTAGAATGTATATGTATTTGTAAAATAAATTCTATGAATAAAAAAAACAAAAACAAAACAGCCATCCTAGAAAGCCTCTTATGATTTAACTCTCAAATATGTAGCAATCATTTACCTATTCAATTCAAATCTATGCATCCCCGCTGTAAAATATGTAGTTAAGGCCTTAGTATTGCTGACACATTGTACTGCACTGTTCATAAAGCAAGTGTTGCCTAAATTGTTTAGACCCGTGGCACCTTTCTCTGGTGGAGCTGAAATGACAAATACACATATTTAAGTCTAAATGGGGTATGGGGAGCTGAAATGAGAAATATACTTATTAAAGGCTAAATGGGGTATGGCGAGGGGAACTAGGGTTAAGTATGTAAAATACACACTGTTTGTAAATCATGCATTCTGATGGAGAAAGTTGAAGTGTGGGTAAAATATGCATTGTTAATGCAGAAATACACAATTTGGAAAATATAACTGCAACCAACACTGGAAAATGTTTCTAAAGAATGTTTGAAGAGGCCAGCGATACCCAAACAAAACTATTTACTGATATGCACAATAACAAAGTAAATGCCTCAAAATTATTTCCAAGACCCACTGCATTTACATTTAAAACACCATTTGCAAATCTGACACATGATTATAATGCTGATGGTCTTTTTAAACATTTACCTTCTTGTTTCTGATCAGCCTTATTTTTGGCAAGTTGGTTCATTTCCTCTGGCCAAGTGAGGTCTTTATTGCGCACTTCAGCCAGTACCTGACAGTAATCCTCCAAACCCAACTCTTCGACTGTTGCTTCTTCATCTTCGAGCAGATGCATGTTTTGCTGAAAAATAAAAACAAGACATAAACATGCAAGATGGCACCACCTGTCATTTGTTGCAGAAACTGACTGCTGAACACTGACCACCAGACACAATGCACAAAAATGTAGGGACTATAACAATATGCCCATTCTGGTGGTGACATAACAAATAGTCCAAGTTGACACACACTGATTGCACCATTTATTATTCCTTGCTTAATTCAGTCCTTGCATCTCTTGTATTTTCATTTTTCATTTCAATACTTATGTAAAATACTGCATTAAATGGAAAAATAATACCCGAAATAATAACCCATTTTCATTATAACAACCTAATTATGATAGTTACTGCTTCACAAACCATAAATGATACATACTTCATCTTTGAATTTCCAAAGTCGTAAATCATCCCTATTAACACGTATCCTGGTACACATGAAATCAAAGATCTGTTTGAGAGAGTGTTGGCAACTGAATGAGGCAGTGTATGCTATATAGCGGCGTGGTGTGGTCACAGTCTGGGTCGGAAAACTACTTCCTGCCCCTGTAATAAAAATGGAAACCCCATCAGAACAATTTTATGGATAAGACCTTTAATGCATTTTCATTAAAACAAAAGTGTAACTGAAACTTTTTGGAAATATACTGTTTGTATTGTTTATAGAGGTCTATTTACCTGTTATAAAAGGCAATGATACAATACTTTTGATAAAATATCAACAATTATTGTATGTGTATGCTTACCTATTGCAATTCCCCCTATTCCAGCCATCATGCCTGTAAAAGATGTTGTTGCATTTGGCGCCCTCTGCTGTTGGGTCTGATGACGTAGAAACTTGACCTGTATCGGGTACAGCTCCAGCTTTGGCTCTGTCTTCTTATTCATATCTTGTATCACCTAGAAGTTGAAAAAGAAATGTTGATAGATAAGTGATCTTGAGCAATAACTGTTCATGTTTCCTTGAGGTTGCTAGGAGACATTTCTTGCTGTTGCAAGGAGACAAGGAAAACAGCTGAAAATGCTTTACTTCGATGTGAAATTGTAACAGAATTTTTCAACTGTGATGTCACTATAAGAGAAGTTAGCAACCAATCATAGTGAACTGTTGAATTTGCAACTTGTTAACACTGGCTATTGTGATGTCACAGATAATACTTTCTGGAAGACCAGCAAAATATATCATCACCATGGTATTTGCAGAAAACACAGTTCCAAGTACTGTCAAAATGATGGATATGGAAAATGCTTCCCATGAACATTGCAGTTGAGAAAGATTCTAAACAATTTTCATTTGGCTCAAAGTACCAGATAAAACTTTGAAACATTTCAACACTATTTTAGCTGACATAGACCATTATACGTGATGTTATGAAGTAGATCTGAAGATTACTCTGCCCTTCAGTAATCTTGCTACAGTCATTGTATTTGATGTTAATGGTGATTTTGTATATACCTGAATCAGTTAGAAGTAGCCAACTTGACTTAAGACTTACAGTTCTAGGCATAGAGGGGGCGCCACCATACCATGAAGACAGGGCATCCCATACAGCCTGGGGCATAATCTGAAAATCTTTGTCTTGCACCAGTGTAGGTTTTAATCGTCCACCTTCATTGGTCAAAATCATAATCTGTAAAAACAGTTTTATTTATTTACATTATCATTAAACAATTTAATGTTAAACCAAAAAATCAAAATTGACTTGATAGCAAGGTAGCAAGTAGGGAGAGAACACAAATGACAAAACCCTGATTCAGATAATGGAAATGGGCTTCCATTTTTTCTTTCTGGCTACTAATTTTATTTCTCTTTTATATCTCATACATATCATTTACACACTACCTATTGGGCCAGTTCTTCTGTGAGCTACTTCTTGAGCTATTTATCATGCTAAATCTTTACCTTTGATGTATTAGGCACAACGAGTTGGGTATTATCTATGGCTGCAGGTCTCTGAGGGGTGATATCAGGTGTTGCACTACGTCGTGGACTTCCATTTATTATAGTAGAGCCCTCTATGGGTGCGTCACCTGCACTACCAATTCTTGTATTTCGTGTCATTACTATACCTCCATCACCCTTCCCTGAAATATTAAAATGTAATTTTTTTACAATTTGTAATTCAATTCTGTGTTAGAAAGGGGGTAAAAATTCTTAGGCATCTCAGCTATGACAACAAGAGTGAAAGTTTTTGACATACAAGTGGGCAGATAATGCAGAATACCAATTTATCATACAGATATTCAGCTGATAAACGATTTTAAAAAAAATATCACATGAATCTCCATAATATCAGAAGTATCACTGGGTGTTATACAACAGATAACACAATAACTGCACAAAGAAAACATAACATAAATAACGAGGCAACATACAACATAAAAATTCCGGTTTACTCATGTAACTGATCGATAGTAATATCTTTAACCAAGTTAGAATAATATTTTTTATGAAACTTCAATGTCTTACCAGATGGCACACTATCATCCTTAGAACCTCTCAATGCTCCTGTTGTCTTGAACTTTGGTGACGTTCCCCGGGGCAAAGTAGATGACTTCTGGGTGGGTGAGGAATGTCTAGGTAGGGTAGAAGACCTAGGTGTTGGGGGAGGACTGCCTATACCATTATGCACAGGGTAGATTGCACTTGGCTGGAAGAAATATGAATCTTCATTGAAGGAAAAAGGTTAAATCATGAGAATTCAATTTCCTTAAAATCTTAACAGTCTGGATCTTTTCACTGTATTTACACCTGTGGGCTACTGTTTTTAAATGACATGTGTTTTGGATGAGAACAGTTGTCAGCAGCCACAAGGGAATGGCCAAATTGTGAGCATACACAAAGCAGATTGATAAGAATTACAAATGAACGACAAATGTACAGAAAATAGAAGATTATTGATTACTATAAATTTTACTTGTATTCTTTAACTAACTACATTACGTTACACATATCAAATGTACAGAAAATATGAAATTATTAATTAATATTTATTTTACTGTTTCCTCATCTACCTACATGTAATACACATCAATTGTACAGAAAATACAATTTCATTAATTAAAATTAATTTAAATAATTTCCCTCAATTATCCACTTTTAATAGAGCATACCTTGAATAGAACATAGTCAAGCCATGTCTTGTACCATGTATTAGAAACAAGGAACCATGTGCTTCCTACTTGGAGACCTCTCCTTAACTCTCTCTCTAACCAGCCTCGGACAATGCTCCCTTCTTGCTCCTTATTTTCAGGCTTTAAACCAAGACAAATATGGCACACCTATAAAAATGAATGAATTTAGTAAGCTACAGCAATGATGGATAAATTGTTATCATATGTCCATTTTTCTTATTTTCAAGGAAAATATTTTCTCTCTTAGACTTAGTATTAATATCACAGGAAAAATTTGTATAAGTATATTCTATTTCTATTTTTGATTTTCATGGCTTTAGGGTTAATGTTAGACTGAGATCTGCAGGAAAGGGTGGTGGAACTTACTTGAAAGAGCAAGGTCAAGAACTCTGAGGGAAGTGGGTGGTCCACTGTCCAAACAAGATATTCCTCTTGAGTTATACAACCATCCTGAAAAGACAATAGTCAAATACACTACATGATTTTCACCCTGCAATGTTTTAGTTGAAAACACTCACTCTTTGAAATGTCAATTCATTTAAGGTCAGAAAGTATGTCTTGCCTTTAAAACGCATCTTGAATCTCAGCTATGTTGTATTTATCAAGAATTTAATCATATATAGAGTCTAACTTAACAGTGTCTATCTTGAATAGGTATTTTATCTTGGTTATGAATATCAAGCAGTCTCTATTGTGGTTTGCCTTTGAATAATGAATCTTGAATCTCAGCTATCTTGTACTTATTTAGAATTTAATCCCGTATTATTGTCTGATATGACAATGTCCTTAGCTGTCCGCTTTAACATACCTCATCACTGTCATATTTCTCCAGAATTTCTTCAACAACTTTGTCGGGATCTAATTTATGTAGCTTGTCCCTTGCCTGGAATAACAAAATTCAATGTAATATAGTCACTAAAGTCAGGAGCTTTTAAAGGTTCTAGGACAGATATGCCTCAGTGTGCCACCACACTATGTGCTTGGGACATGGCAGTATACAACTCAGATTCACATTTTTTATTCTGTTCATATTGCAATGCTGCGTGTCGATCATGAAATAATTCTTGAAAATCAAAGGAATGGATATTTCTGCTTAGTTTTTTAGTTTTTCTCGTTAGAGTTCCCTTCAGAAAAAACCCATGCTTTCCATGGGAATCACCAGTATTCCATAGTAAATACTGGTATTCCATGGAAATAACCATGGAAAACCATGAAATTTTCCATGGTAATTACCAGTTTTTCATGGAGAAGGAACGTGGAGTTTTTCATGGTAATCATGGTATTTACCATGAAATACTGATTTTTCAATGGAACAACTAAACCTCTGTGCATCAATCATCTTCCATTTTTATACTTACAAGTTGATTAGCATTGAGGTTCTCTTTTCGTATTTTCACAAGTGCCTTGATCATGTTGACGAGTTCACTCTTGTTCAGTAGGCCATCATGGTCCATGTCAAACACCTTAAAACAAACTGAAACACAGAACATGTATTTAAGTTGATTTATTCTATGGCGATTTCTTCTTTAAAAATGTAATCATTGTGTTTCTATAATAACATAGTGGGACTTTTATGATTGTTTTTTTCGATTTTTTGCTTATTCAAATGTCTAAAGTTCATTTAGATAGTTTCGAATCAAGAGGTTATTTAGTGTTAACACTTTTTATGATCACCCTGCTAGCGCAAAGTTCCATTCGTTCATAGAAGCAGTGATCTCCCCCGGGATTAAAGCATGTGGGCACTGCACCCATTTGAGATTTTTAATAATAGGCTTGCATCCACCTGAGAATCCATTTAGACTTTAAAATGAGAAATATCATGGAAAAAAGGCATAATTTGACCAAAGTTGGTCTAAATTGTGAAAATAAAAATTTTGCACCCAATTGAGAAAATTCCTGGGGAGAACACTGTAGAAGATTTGATGACTAAATATCTTACATTTTTGCCTCTCAGCCTGTGGCCCTCTACAGCAGGCTGATATGCCACATGCCATCTCCTTGAAGTCAATATGATTATCTCTGTTCTCATCAAAAGCATTGAATACACCTGAAATAGAACTTAAAAGTTTTATCTAATGAAAAGTGAGGTTTCAGGTACATTTCCCTCAGGATATACCCCATATCCAAAACCTCCCATAACATAACCCTCATATATTAGATTTTGAATTAAGCTTCAAAATGCCTCAGGGGTCAGACTCTCTAGATATTTTATCCATGCATTCCCTCTATTCATAATTCATTTCTGTGCAATTCTTGTCAATAAAAGGATCAATAAACACTTTACATATAATACTTGCACATATGTTTGTCAATGCGTCACATGTTCCTTTGAATAGTATGTAATATGTAATGATTGGAACAATAAACTAAGTTAACTTGCATTTTGCTACCATTATGAAGCTGGAATCCTTGAAATACACCCTACTAGTAACCATTGAATTTATTTCAAGTATGGTTTACCTTTAACTAATGACTCGGGAACTGGTGGTCCAATGATTGGCTGAAATGTTTGCATGTCAAACTGCCCTGTTCCTGATTGGCCCTTCAACACCCAATAGCGTTTCTCCAATTCTGTGATGTCACTCTCCTCCACTGTTACATTTAATATTTAGAATTATGAATCTTATTTTATGAGATGTTCAATTACCAAAAAGCCATACCAGCAGTGTTAAATAGTCCCAAACCAGAACAACGGCAACGCCAAAGCGTAGCAAATCCCATCGAACAGAAATGGCTGGCATTTTTACAAACGAAGCGCAAATATCATAAAACAACACACCAGAAAGGCCACCATTTTCAAAATGGTGGCTCACTAGCCAAGTTGCCATCAGAAGAAATAATATGATTTTAAGTAGCCACCTCTAAAATTTTTGAAAAATCGCACACGTATTGGTAAAATAACACACATAAAAATGGTGGCCATTTTTCAAAATGGCCGACTACTCCCCAAGGTTTTATTAGACAATGTGCCATGCTTGAAGTATTCATGCACATATCAAATATGAACAAAATCGCTCCACTACTCTTCGAGTTATAGTAAAATACGTTAAAATGGCGGTCATTTTTCAAAATGGCCACCTTCTACCAAAAGCGTCATTAGAAATAGACAGTGTGCCATGCTTATAGTATTCACATACCAAATATGAACAAAATCGCTACACTACTTTTCGAGTTATAGTGAAATACGTTAAAATGGCGGCCATTTTTCAAAAATTGTTTTCAAAATGGCCGCCTTCTACCAAAAGTGTCATAGGACAGTGTGCCAAGCTTATAGTATTCACATACCAAATATGAACAAAATCGCTCTACTACTTAACGAATTATAGTAAAATATGTTAAAATGGCGGCCATTTTTCAAAATTTTTTTTCAAAATGGCCGCCTTCTACCACAAATGTCATAGGACAGTGTGCCATGCTTATAGTATTCACATACAAAATATGAACAAAATCGCTCCACTACTTTTCGAGTTATAGTAAAATACGTTAAAATGGCGGCCATTTTGCAAAATGGCCGCCTTCTACCAAAAGTGTCTTTAGAAAGTGTGCAATGCTTATAGTATTCACATACCAAATATGAACAAAATCGCTCCACTATTTTTTGAGTTACAGCAAAAATCGTAAAATGACGAGAAAAGGCCGCCATTTTTCAAGATGGCTGCCATGTGCTTCTTTAATATCTACATTTGTAGCATTATTAATGTCCTTTATAATTTTTTTACATTTAAAACATATTGCTATTACAGTTTTACATATTGCACCTAAATTACTGTAAAATCGTCACTAAAATGGCCGCCATTTTGAAATGAGCGGCCATTTTGAAAATCGGCTTTCGAGCAGAACTTTTACCCCCATAGGGTATATGTGTACAAAATATGAACAAAATCGGGCCAACGGTATTTGAGTTATTGCCCGGACGGACGTACGTACGTACGTACGTACGTACGGACGGACCGACGTACGGACGGACAGACCAACGGAAGGCGTTCCCTATATCCCTCCGAACTTCGTTCGATGGGATAATTAGTGACTAATTTCGTCTTGTTTTTAAATCTAAATATGTCTACACGCAGCCAATCAGATTAGAATTTTACATTCAACTTTATACAAAATACAACAGTCACAATACTAGATATTGAAGAATTCAAAATAAATGTATTTAAAAATTTCAACAGTCTGTATAGCCTCTGAATTCAAAAATATGACCCCATAGCCCCTGTACTTACAATGGGTAACTCCGGCTAAGGTCTGATAAAAGGTAGGTGTTTCATTATCATTGGACAGTGTGATTGTACATCTATCCCTCAGCAGCCACTTGGACACTGATGTGGCATCTGTGTTGTTTAGGATCCAAGGCCGGAACTTATCAAATGATACCTTGTCATTCTAAAAAAGAACAACATAAGTTGTTTTATACACACTGTCCTTCAATATTCCTTTCAATATTCTTAAAGCACAAAAATATTGCAAAAATCTTGAAGTCTTTGAATATTGGCACTTTTAAATATTCTTACATGTATTTGAATTATATGGCTTTTAAAAGACAAAAATATGAAGTTTACATTTTAAAGCCAATATCTTTTATGTTTAAATATTCAGAAGTCTGGACAATTTCTCTGAATTTGGATTTTTCCATAGGTGACTAGTACAATTTTCACTAGCCAATTGTGCAAGTACTGTATGCGTATAATGGATGTAAACTTGATGTAAACTGATAAGAGTAAGAAAGGATGATAACTACCTCTAGGAAGAGCTGGGACAAGGCATGGGGGACCTGACCCTCGGTCTCTAGTACCAAGTTATCCATCTCAACCTTCTGTACATGTGATAGGCTCTCACTGTTAGCATAGAGTGCATAGATAACTGAAAAATGAAACATGGCATTCGAGTATGTAAGAGGAGTAAAGATACAGGTAAATATAATAGCAAAAGCTGTATAAGTTGTTGAGCACCCTTGGTACCTCAAAATTGTGTTTTACTCGGGAGGTCTTCAACTTACAGAGGTTTATGTTACATTAAAGGCATACTGTACTTCATCACTGATAAAATGGTTCAAAAATTTTTTCTTCTGGCTTTAGAGTCGATTTCATGGTTTAAAACCTTCTCTGACGATTCTATTTTAACACTATGCATGAAAGTCCATTCAAAGTCATCCATTGAACCTTGAAAAGCCATATTTAGACTGAGGATTGAAAGTTGTTCATGAGAACTTTCAGCTCATCTTCATTAAGATGAACCAGAAGTGAATTTTCACATGGCATATAGTAAACAGCTCAGAATTCCTTTAAGTTAATGAGTAACAAGGTTCTCTGAAGTGTTCCACTTATTATATTCAAGGAGCCTAAGGCAAAAGAATATGAAACATTGACTGAAGCTACATGGACTTCTACATTGAATAAATAAGCATATTACTCACATTTGACTTTTTCATCCCGCCTTCCTCTGGTGATAACTACAAGTCCATTTATTAACTCCTTGAATGCTAGGCCCTTGGAGGTTCCGCCACATACACGGAACATTTGCTAAAAGAAAATATTTTGTCCCATGTAGTTACATCATATATACGAGAAAACATTTTGTCCCATGTAGTTTCATCATATATACAAGAAAATATTCTGTCCCATGTTGTTACATCATATATACAAGAAAATATTCTGTCCCATGTTGTTACATCATATATACAAGAAAATATTCTGTCCCATGTTGTTACATCATATATACGAGAAAATATTTTGTCCCATGTAGTTACATCATATATACGAGAAAATATTTTGTCTAATGTAGTTACATCATACATACGAGAAAATATTTTGTCCCATGTTGTTACATCATATATAAGAGAAAATATTTTGTCCCATGTAGTTACATCATATATACGAGAAAATATTTTGTCCAATGTAGTTACATCATATATACGAGAAAATATTTTGTCCCATGTTGTTACATCATATATACAAGAAAATATTCTGTCCCATGTTGTTACATCATATATACAGACAGACTCATACTTTTATGACAAAAATAAGTGACATAACATAATAGGATTTTTCAATACGAATCTCATACCTAAATAGAACTACATACCTAGTATTGCACATTGTTTTGATAGAAAATACTCCTACTAAGTATATTACATTGGTATGAAATGGTCTTAGTATTGACCATCATATTGACAACCCATATCAACATTATTATAAACCCACCATCTTCATTTAAAAATAATTGCAATACAGGTGTGTTTAAAATTATGTAAATCAAATGATTGTAATCACAGAGACTGTTGAGGATTTTAAACTTATTTACAATAAATTCTGTATTAAAATTTTGAATAACATGCTAACCTCTGCTAGCTTGGCTGGAACCGTGTCACCAAGGACCTCCCGCATGAACACTTGCTTGGATAGGAAGCCATTTAATGTAGCAGACCTCTTGAAGGCATCCTTTAACCGCTTCAATTCTGTGTCACTAACTGAAAATATATGGATAAATAAAATATAATGTTTTTGGTTGAACATAAACTGCATCAGAGCAGATAATCCCCATGTTAATAAATGAAAAAAATGGAAAGATCCCTCAGAGGTATTCTACAGTACAAGTACATGTATGTTTCTAGAATCGTGTTCATTTTCATGTCACCACCAGAAAAGGTGGTGGTGACATATTGTTATAGTCTCCAACTTTTTATGGATGGTGTTCGGCAATTGGCATTTGGAAGATCGCAGTTGGCATCTGTACCAAATGGCAGGTAGTGACATTTGCATGTTAATGCCTTGTTGATATTTGCAGGCTGATAACAAAGGAGCATCACAGATAGAAATAAATTAAGTACCGGTATACTAGATATAGCAACATTTTACTATCATACTCTATAAACCTTTATTATAATCTTCTGAACTTTAAAGTCAATCAGAGCTTTAGTTGGTAAGCAACAGCAAATATCCATGTGCATAAATAAAGGATAGACAGACATATACACAGCCAATATAATTCGACGCCGTTTCGGCATCGAAAAAATTCAGCACCATTTCGACACCGTTCCGGCACCGTTTCGACACCGTTCCGGCACCTAAACCTTTCGACACCAAAATTTGCTACCGGACTAGTCAGTCCATTTGGTGTCGAAACGGCACCGAAATTTGGCACCGAAACGGCGATGAAAATCAGATTGCATTTTGGGGGTGTAAAGATGGAAGGATAGTAGGTTCAAGAGTAAAACATGGCATTAACATGCAAAATGTCACCACCTGCCATTTACTACAGATGCCTACCGCCAACTGCTGAACAACATCCACAAATGATTGATTGGAAACTATAACATGATGTCACCACTTGTGGTTGTGACACAACAAAAATCCTGGTCAGAGAATAATGCACTTGCCAATTTACAAAGGGTGACAAAGCTGATATGATACAAGCAGACTAAATTAATAAACAAAAATGACTCTGGGATATACTCAGTCTGATTGGTTGAATGCCAAACTGTAAAATAAATGAAACTCCTCAGAGGATAGAATTCTCGGTGATTAACACAGGGTAATAAAGCTAATAGGTACATTATGCAATCTGACAAAGAATGAGAACAAATTGACTCTGGGATGGACTCTGATTGGTTAATTGCAAAACTGTAAAACGAATGAACTTGCGCAGAGGACAAAATTCTGGGTGCTAACACAGGGTAATAAAGCTGACATTATGCAATCTGAAAATGAGACCAAAATAATATTCTGTAATATAGAAATCAATACGTTTCCTACACCAGGAAATCTCCAGATTCTGTGCATACAACAATCAATTTGTATCCTCGATATTAATAGATTCAACTCTCTAAATGTAACACTAAGTCTGCTTTATTTATTGACACTTTTGGCAATAAGAGTTTAATTGTAGATTTGTTCACTTATAAGTTATTGGAATATGATGTTTACATAGGCCAGGGATACATTGTAAAATACTTAACACCTCGATTCTCACTGACAGTGTAATATCTGAAATGCCCATGGATTTCTACATCATTAATGCATCAGTTTTATTCAAAGGGTTTGGAGAATGGAAAATGAATATTGTATGTCAAAATAAGGGATCAAGGGTTCCTAAATTCCCAATAGAATCTATATACCCAGATGCTGACAAAACAATTTAGCTCTATTTCAATGAAACTTATCTGAGCTAATACAATTTGCTTTTGTGCAAATATCACTGTAAATGCCGAAAACAAGTAATTAGTGCATTTCTAGAATGCATATTACAGTAAAACTTGTCCATGTAAACACCTAGATATAAGATGAATGACTCTAAATGTGAATTTTTAGCTATACTTCAGAATGTTGCATATTTCAGATGTTTAATGTGAACATATCTCTTCGTGTAAACAGCTTTTATCCCAATATGAACATCTCAATATAAACACCTATCAATATAAACACCTGTAAACACCTCATAATGTAAATACCTCTCAATATAAACACCTGTAAACACCTCTTAATATAAACACCTATCTATATAAACACATGTAAACACCTCATAATATAAATACCTCTTAATATAAACTAAAACACCTGTCAATATAAACACCTCTCAAATGCAAAACATTTAATGTGAGCACTGTTAGTCAGTCTGTCCAAGAACAGTTCACTCCAGACAGATATTCCTCATGTAATTTATATATTCCTCATGTAATTTACTGCATTGTGTATGATCTGTTCTTTTATTCTAAAAATACTTAATGACAAAATCACATCTTCATTTACATGACGTAGATATACATTTCTACAAGAGAAGCAAGATGTATCAGTGATCTGCACAGATTTTTTCTCTACAGAGGGCTAAATCATAATTTAAAAATGTTCTGGTCAAAATATCTCAAAATTTCGCCATACTGGTGCAGCATCCAACATGGCGATATATTGCAATATATTGCATTTGCAATGTTCACAATGAAAAAATATCAGTTTCCTGAAGCACACTTCGCTGCATTCATTCATTAGAAAGAAATTTCTGCTTTCTCAGTTGTTTCAGACAGAAATGAGGGCAAACATTTTAACCTTGTTATTTAGTCTAAACATGAAGTTAATATAATTAGCTTGGAATGGATCATTACTCGTTCGATTGATTGCATTGACTGGCAAGAAAGAGGACATAATGCAAAGTATAACCCAAGGGTGAGACCAATAATTCATGAGACCCCTATATCTATATTCTCTACTCTGCAGTCAGAGCCTAGTGCTTTATAAGTAGATGAAGCTCTCTTTTAAGGAAGTAAAATCATTATTGGAAAAGGTATTTATTCTATCAAAGACCTCTTATCTATGTTCAACTGGAGACGTGGCATACTTCATGAATATACAATGCTTTTTATAATTCCAGCTCCAGTTCCATTTTAGTTATGAGCTATATTTCTAATAACAAGTATTTTGGAGGAGTGTTCTTGTCAGGACTAATTGTGGCTATAGAGATTTCAATTTCAATTTTCAATTTGTTTATTTCACAAAACACATACAATATACATATACAAGGAGTGGGTGACACAAGGGTTTGTGTATATTCCCAAGATGGAGTAAATTTACAAAGTATGTTAAAGTGGTGTGTAGATGTAGATGTGTATTATGATAAGCAATCCTTGTTAAAACTGATCAAATTGATGTGATGGTTCATTTATGGAAACAAATGGAGGGTTAATGGACCCATATCAGGAGTTTCATCAACATTTATTGAACATTAATTGTAGAGCGAACCATTTTTCATATGTAATTTCATTAATATAATATCAGTGTGGGTCATATCCACTCGACAGTAGTCCCAGACGGATGTATTTATTTAGAGTCGAGTGTAAAATTGAAGTGCCTTGCCGCATTGTCTAACATGAAAAACATGAAATTCGTCATTGTTTAATATTATAGAAGTCAATTTTAAGTACTCTCATAAACATACTTTCTTTTTTAAAAAAGATTTTTAATCACAGAAGAAAACAGTAAGTATACATATCATCAGTGGCAACGCTGTGACGAGTGTAATTTTTCATTGGCGAGTGTGAAAACACAAGTCGATTGCCACTTGGCATTGCAACTTGGCGAGTGCCAGAAAAATCCTAAGACCTACACTGAATATACAAAATCTCATGGTTTAAAACCCATACCCTGAAAACCCAAAAATATCACCATTAACAGCCCGGGTTTCAATAAATATTTTTTCAACAGGCTTTTTGGCAATTTCAACAGGCTGAAACTTATTTCACTAAAATAATCCATGTTAGAACACAAGCTGACAATTTAACCTTGAATACACTGTAATTGATACTGCAAATGCGGTCAAGTGAAATATTAAGCAAGAAACAGCGGTCAATATTAGTTATGTCGTCTCGTCTGTAATAACATTATGATTCACAGACCGCTGAAGCTTCAATCTAATAATTCTTCTTAGAGACAAGAATTCTATTTCGGCCGTCTCTCTAATTTCCCATTCATTTTATTCCCATGTTAATCCGTCATCTGATTGGCAATCTCGGCTAAAATTGGGTTACTGACGGGAGTGTGTGTGGAATTTTTCATTATATTAAAGTGCGATACCTGTAATTACTAAGATTGTAGATTATTAAGACAGCTAGATTCAGTGTGATGTCCATTTTGATATAAAATGCCAAAAATAATAATTTTTCATTATATTAAAGTGCGATACCTGTAATTACTAAGATTGCAGATTATTAAGACAGCTAGATTCAGTGTGATGTCCATTTTGATATAAAATGCCAAAAATAATAGGCAATGTCCAAGATTAATCAGACTCAAACTATTTTTCATCAATCCAGAACTATTTATTTTCTCAATATACTTTTTTTAGTTCCAGAACATATTTTATGAAATATGTGAGCTGACCCGGCCTCAAACCAAATCTTATTACTGAGCCCCATAAGTTTGATAAATACCCTATACATTTGAGAGTTGCAAATTGTTTTTCAAACGGCATAGTCTTAATTTTCTCATTACAGGCTTCATTCAATCATCTTTGACCATCATCTGAACTTTGATATTAAGAAAAATAGCTCCGATTATTCTAACATTAAGAGTGCATATATCTCAAAGTTGGTCAATGATTATACCATAGAATAAAGTTGGTCAATGATTATACCATAGAATAAAGTTGGTCAATGATTATACCATAGAATAAAGTTGGTCAATGATTATACCATAGAATAAAGTTGGTCAATGATTATACCATAGAATAAAGTTGGTCAATGATTATACCATAGAATAAAGTTGGTCAATGATTATACCATAGAATAAAGTTGGTCAATGATTATACCATAGAATAAAGTTGGTCAATGATTATACCATAGAATAAAGTTGGTCAATGATTATACCATAGGATAAAGTTGGTCAATGATTATACCATAGAATAAAGTTGGTCAATGATTATACCATAGGATAAAGTTGGTCAATGATTATACCATAGGATAAAGTTGGTCAATGATTATACCATAGAATAAAGTTGGTCAATGATTATACCATAGAATAAAGTTGGTCAATGATTATACCATAGAATAAAGTTGGTCAATGTTTATACCATAGAATAATCAAGGGAGGCAGGTCAATATATTTGTGTTACCGTTTATGCAACAAATTATAGTTGGTTACCAGGGGCACAACCATAATGAAAACTTAGGTGAGGCAAATAATGAATAGGTCAAGCCAATTGAGGCTAAATAAGTAACAAGGATTAAAATCTGTATATATTGAACACTTATGAAGCCATAAAAACTGTAGGTTGATGTTAACTTTCAGTACAGGGATGGGATTCTATACAAGAGTCAAAGTAAAATGTGTCTTGATCTAGTGTTCACGAAACATAGGTGAGGTGTTCACAAGAGAGAGGTGTTCGCTAACTCAGGTTTTACCTCTAAAGACTTCATTTCAACAATTTTACTTGAAAAAGTGTCTAAATCAATATATTTCTTGAAATATTGGTGAGGCATTGAGGCTTTTGCCTCATGGCCTCATGGCTATGGTTACATATAGCAATATTTTATTTGATGGTTATTGATTTCAGAGATTTCAAAGAATTTACTAGAGCTAACATGATTCCACTTGTACTTAAGACCAGAAATACTGAATAGATGATACATTTTCTGAAAAATTCAAAATATTCTGTTTGGTAACCTTTCCAAAGGTCGAACTTTAAGCTTCACATTTTCAGAGGGCTGAAAAAGAAACAACTAAGAGGGTACCAAAGTATAATTATAAAGTGAGACTCATGAACTATAAAGCTGCGCATCAAGTGAAAAGAACAGAAGTTTTTTTTCTCGCATGGATCGAGATCTCGCGAGATTTTAATTTTTCCAGATATCAAAAATGGCGGAAAATGGAAATTCTACTTCTAATAAGTAAGTGTCGAAGTTAACCCGTCTATTATGTCGACATTACCCCACACGTCGACATTACAACCTTTGCTCTACTTTTGAAATGTGCACCATCCTCAACAAGATCGTGTAAGAGAATTCCCGAGAATATCAACTAGCCAAGAGAATATCCAATAAACTTACAAAATTTAGCATTTAAAAAGAATATTCTCATTTGATTTTGCCAAGCCTATACGACTGAAACTGTCTTGAAGCAGATCTGGGAGTGGGAAGGGACCTTGTATGTATCCAACAGACCGAATATAATATTCTGTCTGTTATGGTTGATACCCTTCGCATGGAAATCGCGGCGATATTTTGTGCACATAAATTTCTCGTTTATTACAAGAATGTTCACCTTGAAAATTGGTGAATATGTTGAAGAGATGTTCATCTTAAACTAGAAGCAAAAATATCTGTGATATTGAAATGTTCAGACTCACCAAAACTTCAGGATGTGTTCATAAGTAGGTCGCGGAGTCAATGTCAAGTTCACGAGATCCAAACGAGATATGCAAATTTTTGAACTTTGACTTTAAACTTCAAACACATGACAACTTGATTACCTCGGCCTTCTTCATGAATAATCCAGCTTTATTTACAATAAATGACAAAATGAATTGGGATAATGATAATAAATGACTAATGAATTCCAGCACATATTGAATTTATACAGTGGCGTAGCGTGGGTACTTTGTGAGTGTACGCTACGAGTGAGCGAAGTGAACGATCTTTGAGGGAGGTTTGGGGTGGGAAATTCATCTGAAATGAGATTGCAATTTAAGCATACCGGGGTGTTTTAAAATACGAAATTCCGACTAAGAATAGACTAATAGAATAATAAAATGTAAAATATTTGCCATTTTTATCTATTTTTAAGTGTTCCGCAATTCAATCTAAGAAATCAACTTTGCTCTAAATTTTTAGAGTACGCCATGGCGTTTTATGCGTATATGACGCTACGCTTTTGTTATAAATACGCTTCCTTATGTTGCTCCGTCCGCTCCACGTGTTATTTGTTTACAAATAGACTGACGTCACTGGTTAAATTTTGTTTATCATGAGAATTGGAATTGCCAAAATGGCTTGACCTTATCAATGCTTTCGCTACAAGAAGCGTCTGTATTTATGAATATCTTCAGTAAGAGGACAATATACGAAAAATAATATTGTAAGTTCTTTATAAGGTAATCATTTTATCATTCTACAAACTTATTTGTAACATTTATACAACACCACATTTTAAAATAGGTGACTTACAGTCTGAATTAATTCAGACGAAGGATACACTATAGGAAGGGACCTAAAAATAATAAATATTGAAAACATCAACATTTTGAAGAACCGAATTCAGTATAAAAGCACACGTTTCCGGTTTAAAGAGATACATACCTCGTTTGACTGCATCTTCATATGTTAAGTATGCGAATTTGGAATCTTTTCCACCCATAGTTATGTCATAATCCGTCAAAGTGTATCGTTCAGAAATGTAAACAATTTTGTTTTTACGCCCTCCATGTTACTTCTCATTGTTTACGAGACTTCTCGAGATTATGATTTGTGGGGACCTGTCACCCTGTATATTTTGTTGAAAAACCAGCACAGTATAGACGAATTATAAATATAAAGGTAATCTGAGATACATGTATAATACCAAAAAATACGCTGATGTGAATTAATAACATAAATTATTCCAAATTTAGCACGATGAAATATATGAAAAATAAGGACAATAATAAAATGATCTGTGACCTGTCAAATCTCGCAAAAAAGTATGGCTACCCAGACTTTGAACTTCCAAGGCGGAAACTTGCAGAATTTAGCACAATATCTCCCTAATATTGGCACTGATAATCGTATCTAATTTATTGCTGATGATTTGAATATCACATGTTTGAATGAATGTCCAAAAACATGTGAAATATGCCTTTGTTTCGCAGAAAATCAGGTGAGAAAAACTTATTTTTTCCAAAAAAATGAAAATCAACTTTTTGACAACAAATCAAAAAGCTTAGACATAATGCAAACAGTGTGTATTCTGAAGTTGATGATATAATTTTTTTAGAATTGAATCATTGTGTGTAAAAATATGACAAGGGAAAGAGTATGAATCAATGACAAACTATGATGTGTTGATACAATCTACTTTCAAATAACGCCCCCCTAGTCTAACTGTAGCCTAACACTCGTGTCCGTCTCGCTCAGGTTTCAAACATGCGCAGGAACATGAAGTAAGCATGATTACAATGAGAGGACATGGAATTTAACCATTGTTTTTTATTTTCCTCTATTTAGACAAACAGACCTCCCAGCCAGTAGTTGGGAAACCAGGTCACAGGCGTTCACCATCATCATCATCCCGTACCTCAGGTGACAGTGTCCCTAATGGGGATGTGGGTGTCATGGAACCACCTTTGCGAGAGGAACATGGTGGAGCCAAGCCCAAGATAATTCTCCATTCTCCAAGCGGCCAGGATGTTACATTTGGTGACCTTGGTATGTATTACTGTGCTGTGGTCTCTCCAGTACCTGGTATCTAGTATGCAGGGTTAGCTCCTGACACGAGACCTGTTTTAGACAGTATTTTTATTGTACATTCTGCCATTTTAGATTTTTAGCTTGGATGACTTCCAAAACTAATTGTGTTGCTCAGCTCAGCTTTAATTAGTGTAACAATAGATGTAGATGTATTATGACTGGTTGGAAATTTTAAAATCATATGGTTCAGCCCTGTTGAAAATCTGTTTAAACCGGCATTATCCAATGAATTAAGAACATACTTGGCTAAAAATGAAATTAAAATAGTTTTAAAAATCTAAATGCATTTTTACTTTTTCCAGGTACCAAAGATTCAATACCAATGATGACATCATCACGCTTATCAAAAACATTCCATGAAATCATTCACGATAAGGACGCCCTGCCATCTTTTATTCAGTATTTGGAAGCGAAAGACAAAGTCCAGTTTATTAAATTCTGGCTAGATGCAGAAAGTTTCCAGGCATCATCCTGGAGCCGCATACGAACTCACTCAATGAATACATTAGCAAAAAGTTCACTTTCTGGGAAAGAGAAAAATGACCTTGACCCTGGTAGGTCAAGGTCACAGGGTTTAATAAGTGCAATTGAGTCAAAGTCTCACAAACCCGATGATGAGACAACCGTTCCATCCATTGCAGTTACTGACTATGATGCTACATCTTCCACTAAGGTGCCAAAATCAGTCAAAGTAAGTTCAATACAGGACCATATACCCAATGGTGCATTAAACAGTGATAAAATAACAGAGACTATTAAATCAACATCAAATGATATACGCAACATTTCTGCAGCTATTATGGATTTTAAACCGTCAAAAACAAAGGGAAATATTTCCAACCCACTTAATGCTCAAGATGGTGAAGTAAATAAGACATTGAAGGATTGTAATGAGAACACGAGTGATACGATCAAAACCACCAAGGATATCATTTCAAATACTGCTGATGGTCCTGCCTACTTAGACCTTAAAAATGAGGATGAATTTGGTCAAAAACTTAGAAAAAGTGAGTTTTTTTCTAGTTCTAGTTATTATTTATATATTGGTACATGTATTAAGTTGATACTTAACTGAGGCTTTTTGACTAAGGAAATTAACTTATTTCCCCACTTCCATTGATGTAAAATGTTCAGATGTCCATTAGTCTGAGGCTCTTGTATTTGTATTGTCAATCATATTACAAGGATCATCATATAATTTTTATCACACTTTTTTGAAGTGCTATATTGCTGTCATCTTTGCTAAATAAGAGTTATTTACTGGGAGGTTTTGGATATGGGGTTTATCCAGAGGGAGATATGCATATCTACCTGAGGGACCGAAGGTAGATGTGCATATCTCACGAAGGATGAACCCAATATCCAAACCGACCGTTTATATCCGGGGATATCTGGGGGTGTCAGGTAGAATTTATCACATAGATCTTGTCATCAAAATTACAGGAAAACACTTCCATCGAATTTGCATGGATGTCTCTTATCCAGTCAACTTGACATTTTTACAGATGCAAGAGCACACTAGTGCCAAGATCTGATTAGAGCTCTTTTGCTGTCACCTTGTGCTGATGGACATGTTTCTGTCCGTCTGGGCAACTGGACATTTTCGAGGAAAAATCCAGACATCTGTGCCTAAATCTATTCATGTTTTGAATTTGTAAAATTGACAAATTTTTCCAATTTTCAGGTATTGAAAAAGATGCAGTAAACATATACTCAAAATACATTGCCCTCGACTGTCCATATCCCCTGGGTATAGGAGAAGATTTGAGGAACCGTGCAATTGGCAAGATTTGTCGTGAAGATGGCCAGATAGACCCACAGTGCTTCAATGAATGCCAGGAGTTTGTCTTAGATGTTTTAGAAAAAGAGTAAGTTATTGTTGATTATCTAGTCTTCCCCCGACTGTCTATATCCTGCTGTATTGGAGAGATATCAGGGAGGGGAGATTATCTAGTCTCACACTAAACCCCAGCCTTCCTCCAACTGTCTATTTCCAGAGCTGTATTTGAGATAAAATGGGTAGGGGGATATTATCTAGTTTTGGATTAAAGCCCAGCCTTCAACCCCCCCCCCCCCCCTACTGTCTATCTAGAGATATTGGGTAGGTGAGGGCAACACAGGCCCTTGTTGAAATTCTGCTTTAATCCATTTAATAATCAATGTTTTACATGTACAACACATTCAATTTTTACATAATTAAATTGAGAATATGAGCATTTAGTGGATATTTTCTCAGTTTGGTGAGGGGAGTATGATGTTTGATAGTCTTACATCAAGTCCCAGTCCCAGGACTCTCCTATCTATGTGTAAGGGGGTGGGGTGGGGTGGGGGTTAAAGGCACATTGGCTTGAAGCATTAGACTACATATTGATATTATTATGTAATATTTAGACAAGGTTTGTGGATGCTAAACTTATATCAGGTTTAGAAAAAACTTTATGTTGTATACACCTTTTATATATTTATATATTATAAGTAGATGTTTATGTTACTCAGTCTGGCTAAATGCATTTGTGTTTTATCCCTTGGGCCATTAATAAAACCTTGGTAGATTTCAAATAAAACACATAGCTCTACTGAAATGACAGTATGCCATGTATGTGTTAATTAGCTATAAAGGCCAGGGTGTGTCATAAGTAATGGCCCAGAGGACACTACCAGGACCAGGTCAAAGATGCTTATGCCATAACCTGGCAGAAACAAAGTTTTTACCCATCGGACCTCCAAAGAAAAATGAAACTTCATGGTATCAATGTAAATGAAGTAAAAAAAATTATAAACAAAGCTAAAAATGAAACTTTCAATTCTCTTCGAAGAATGTTCTAAAATGCAAACCTGAAGTTAATGAGACAACATATTATAAATGTACTATTTCTTGTGTTACAGGTTCTACCCTGGATATAAAGAAAGTGTATTTCACTGTAAACACCAAATAGATATACTCACATCAACTCAAGTCTACCTGGCAGATGTCCTCTATAATGAAATAGCAATGTCATACTTCATGGAAGTAAGTAAAAGTCAGAATAAGTTTGCGTCATTATGAAGAAATATTTCTTTCATTCAATACTGTTCTAGTATAGGTTTAAAAGAACAAATAATAAGCAAAACATGTAATGAATTTTTAAAATTCCTGTTATTGATTCAGAGTTGATTTCATTATTTGTGCATGGTATAATTGAAAAAGGGTGGTTGGTGTTTGGTAGTCAGTGGCTGGTGTCTGTAGCAAATCATGGCCTCTGTATCAAATGGCAGGTCATGACATTTTGCATGTTAATGCCTAAGCTTTGTAATGTTTATGATCAAGACAGTAAAATTATTTTGACCTTTTATTGTAGTTAATGGCCTTAAGTTGCAGTAATTGACCAAATGTTGTAGTAATTGACCTGTTGTTGTAATATATGCTCTATTGTTGTAGTACATGGAACAAGAGGGGGCTATGCAAGTATTTGAGTGCTGGCTGTCTATAGACAACTTCCAACAACATCTAGCTACCACACAATATGATGGTCCTCAGGCACAATCTGACTCTATGATACTCTATGAAAAGTAAGTTGCTATTTTCCAGAGAAATTTGTAATTTCAGGGTCAAAATGTTCACAGAGGCTGTGGGTCCTCAATAGTCTCACATTTTTGCCAACCTAACATTGTGGAAAACAGTTGAATTTTTATTGTTTGTCACTTTATCTTTGTGAGATATTTTGTTTTCTCTGAGCTCCCTCCTAAAGAATTGCAGTATATGGCACTGTGTATATATAAATTTTATTTCTACAGAATTTCTTGCTTAAATAAAAGTATCTTTGTTCAAATAACAGTGAATTTTTCAGAGTCCTTAAGTTCATTTACTTTACTTATAGACTTGTCATATACCTGTTCTGTAGAGCAATTCTCTGTCTTCAATTTCAATTTGAACAATTATTTCATCTCATAAAAGTATTTGGCAGGGGTGTAAAGTGTCGACACAATTAGAGTCAATGGCTACATGTATGGCCTCCTAAGACATATATATTTCTTTCAGATACTTTTCCCTCCAAGCAGTGGTACCTCTAGGATTTGAAGACAAGGTCAGGTTCGAGGTGGAGTCGAACATATGTCGTGAAGGAGGTCCACTCCCAGACTGCTTTGCTTCTGCCAAGAGAGTGCTTCTACATACACTGAATAAGGTACTGTTTCCATGGTGTATTGTTTTTTTAATTTTTATTTGTTTATCACTATTATAAAGATTAAGAACTTATATGTAAATAGATTTGTTGATCATTATCTGAAATTCAAGTGTCACAAAATGTAATTCTCTTCAGATAAACGATTGCTAGTTCTTAATTTCTAATTCCTTGTAAAAAACATAAATACTGGAATTGAGTTACATTTACGTAATTCCTGAAGTTTTGATATGAATAAATCAAACCTCTATCAAATGTTGGCATTTTATATATTTAAGTATAGATAACATATAATATATCTATGGATGTACATGTTCACACTCTAGTAATAAAACTCTGATATGACTTGTTATCTGTTGATCGACACCAAGTGTTAATTTTGAAACTTCACTATTGTTCATCACCTGATATACTAATTTACATATTTGATAACACAAAATCTCAGTTATCATTTGTGTATGACATATTTCATGGGTAAATCTTTTTGATTTAAGGGGAACTTGAAAATGTATGAAGCCATTGTTTGTGTACCCTAACAGTTATATCTGCTGTATTTCAATACCTTATGAACCCTTTCAGAATGTACCAACCCCTTGTATCAACCTGAGTATCAACCCCTTGTATCAGTATCTGTCTCCTAGTATCATACCAGTATCCGCCCCTTGCATGCTCTCCCCTTGAACATACTTGTATCAATTCGATGTATACCTTCCCCCAACATACCTATGGGCTATGTTGATACATAAAGCGGGTGGGGGGGGGGGGGGCAGATTGGTCATCTGAAATGTGTTTGTGTTAAAGGATATTCTATGTATTGATGATTGACCAAAATGACATACCGATACCATGTTATGCAAAAGCCTTTATACAACTGTTATTCAGTACTAGTCCTTCATTTGGTATCCTATTTCATGAGAAAATTCTTATCTGGCTGAATTTAATTGAAGGTCAAATATGCAAGTTAATATTTGACCTTTACATGCTTTTAATATCAATTAATAAAAGCATGACGTTTATATTCTTTATTATACTCTTGAGTCCATCAGGTTTAGTTTGTCTGTCACTGTTATTCTTGATATTTCTCCATAGTTCAGAAAATGCTTCCATATCATCTCGCCATCTATACTTGTTAAATCCGTTTTTCTGTATGAGACAATTTGTCTCATTTTATATGATATTTATTCTATCAAATATTAACCTATCAGAGATTAGAACCCATTCTTAAAGTATCAAATGATAATACACTTTTCCAACCTTTCCTGTTAATAAAACTTTATCTCACATTTTCTCGAATTTTATATTCTTCATAGCTTTAAGATGTTCAAAAATATTAGGGAGGGTTCTTTCTTTCATTCATTCTTTCCGATTAAAAAGTATGAGATTGTATTATAATATTTTTGGGAAGGTCTATGCTGAAGTTCAGTTATATGTGGACAGATCCACCCCTTATTAGCTAAAAATATATAGGGAAATCTAATTTTTGAGATTTCTGTCAGATCATCATAACATCAGTGGTTGTGAATTTAAATTCTTCACCTTGAGAAAATATTTATACACGAGTGAACAATCTGAATTGTACACCTAGTACAATGGATAATTGAAGCAGTTGACAGGATATTATAATAAACATTTGTGATATTGACATTTGGATTTTTGACCTGAACACATAAAGAAAAACTTGTGTTTCTGCCTCGCAAAATAGAACAAATCATGCGTGTCTCTTTATCAAAAGGTAGGCCTATGTTGAAAAAATTGGAATGCTTTATTTACGATGTACATACACTGTATATGTGTAAATATATTTAGTGTGTATTGCCTTTGCTTTTGTCAATTTCCCACATTTACGCCTTACCTTTGTTTTATAATCATCAGAACCCAAAGATTTAATGTTAGTTCCCATGATGGAGTGTCTCACTTACTCTAATATTCACTCATATGATGCCTCTCTTACTTTTATGTATAGAAAGTCTCCCTTATTGTCTGCTTGAAAAGGGTCCAACATACACCCTCCAATAGAGAGTCTCTAACCCTCCCCACAAATGGAAAGTTCCCTCAGTCACCTATTTCTATCCCTGCAAATAAATGGTCTTCCATTCCCCTGTACCCATAAATTGTCCCCTGTCCATACAAGATATTGCTAACCCCTTATCAATGCAATATTTCCCTCACCTCCTGGCCCCTACCCATAAAAGTCTTCCCCATCCATAGAAGCTTTATCTTACCCCCTACCCAAAACAACATCCCCTTATCCTATATAAATAAAAATCTCTTACCCCCTCCAAAATATCCCTTTTACCCCCCACCCCATATAATAGGGTCATGATGCAAGTGTCCCAGCTTGATTGTGGCTTGAACAGCAAGAGCAAAGTCCTTCCCTTATGTTTCAGGTGTACTTCCCTAGCTTCATGCAGAGTGAGATTTACTTCAAATATCTTTCGGAGCTTATTAACACATTACAGTCTAGCGGGGAGATGCCTGCAGCTATAAAAGTGCAATCTAGACGAGGTATGTTTGGTTAGTTTTATACTGAGTGAGATTTACTTCAAATATCTCTCAGAACTTATTAACACATTTCAGTCTAGCGGGGAGATGCCTGCAGCCATAAAAGTGCAATCTAGACGAGGTATGTTTGGTTAGTTTTATACTGAGTGAGATTCACTTCAAATATCTTTCGGAGCTTATTAACACATTGCAGTCTAGCGGGGAAATGCCTGCAGTCATAAAAGTGCAATCTAGACGAGGTATGTTTGGTTAGTTTTATACTGAGTGAGATTCACTTCAAATATCTTTCGGAGCTTATTAACACATTGCAGTCTAGCGGGGAAATGCCTGCAGTCATAAAAGTGCAATCTAGACGAGGTATGTTTGGTTAGTTTTATACTGAGTGAGATTCACTTCAAATATCTTTCGGAGCTTATTAACACATTGCAGTCTAGCGGGGAAATGCCTGCAGCCATAAAAGTGCATTCTAGAAGAGGTAATATTAGTTTTGTGCTTCCATCACTACAGTATGGGGACATATTGTTGACATTTTATTTTTTTGCATGGCTTACATTTGAGATTTCCTTTAAACATCTGAACTTATAAAAATTCATTTAGGGGGCAGATATTTGCAGCCATCAAAGTTCTTAAAAGTATGGTTAGTTTTCATAGAGACATACATGTATTGTGTACGTTTAATTTTACTATTTTATATGGTTTTGTACCAGGGGTATACAATTTTGCTTAGAAAATTTAAAGTCTGTTTGGAGGTGATTGCAGGTTATTCCAAGGTTTGTCTTTTTGATCACAATTTTGTAAAAATCATTAAGAAACAAGATTTTCAATTTTAGTTTTGAAATTTTGAATCGAAAATACCTTACCGAAGATCACAAATTTCCAGGGCTATTATGTGCCATTAATCACTGGTTTTGATAAGTAAAGAGGTAAGTACTCTATTACACGCCCGGTGATCGTGAAAATGGGACGGAGGGGGGAGCAGGCAATTTCCGCTAGAAAATTCAACAAATCTGGTAAAATTATTTTTTCAAGACAGAGTTTACGATTGAATTGCAAATTGAATAAGCGCACGGTATGATAAAATATGTTAGGTATTCTAGGATTATTTTTCAACCGATACTCTTTTAAGATATAAGATCTATTAAAAAAGGCGCAACGCAACCAACGTGCAAAAGTCAAAGTTTTTGCTATAAATCAAGCAACAATGGACTACACGACCTGTAATAAATACTTGTAAGTGATGTTATCATAACTAAATTAATGTCATTGCTGAATTTATAAAATAAGTTTCCATACGTAAAAAAAAAAATAATCGAAAATAATTAAAATGGGACGGAGTGGGGGGTGGGGACGGAGGGGGGAGTAATAATTCTATAAAGTGAAACAACTTCACACGAATTCTTGTATTTGAAAAATGAACTCATTAACTTAGTAAGAAACTGGATGATATACCCCTGGAGACTGAAAAATGGGGACATTTGGAGTAAAAGGACTTAAAGTCGCGAAACATCTCTAATCATGTCTTATATACATATTGCTCCCCCCCCCTCCGTCCCCTCCCCCCTCTGTCCCAAATTCATTATTTTCGATTATTTTTTATTTCACATATGGAAATTTATTTTATAAATTCAGCAATGACATTAATTAAGCTATGATAACATCACTTACAAGTATTTATTATAGGTCGTCCAGACCATTGTTGCTTGATTTATAGCAAAAACGTTGATTTGTGCCTGTTGATGGCCTTGCGCCTTTTTTAATAGATCTCATACCTTAGATGCGTATCGTTTCAGAAAAAATCCCAGAAAACCTAACATATTCTACCATACCGTGCGCCTATCCATTAAGCAATTCAATAGTAAACTTTTACTTGAAAAAATAAATCTTCCAGATTTGTTGAATTTCCTAGCAGAAATTGCCTGCTCCCCCCCTCCGTCCCATATTCACGATCACTGGGCGTGTATTATCGCCCATTCGATATTTTAAGAATGAACACTCTCAAAATGTCTTCAATATGTGGTCAATCCTCCATTCTTTGATATTAATGAAGCCGGCATGGGGTAAGGTTAGGATACCTATAACATTGATAATGTTGTTAATTCTGTTTTCATTAGACTTAACTAGTAAACTACCAGTAACAGACTCTTCGTTTTAGAATTTACTGCCATATTGTAACTAAATAGATTCACAAACATACAAATGTACCCATTGTTCAACTCTCTGGAGATTAAAAGTAGAAGTGGTTTTTCCATCATATGAATTTTCAAGTACATTCATGTCTTGCAAAGAGGTAATTCATACAACATGCTGACCTAAAAGATTAATGAACAAGATTAAAGTTATGTAGCTTTGAATATTCACACATTTTATTTCAAGTGTGATTTTACACTTCTGAATCATTAACATGTAAATCGATTCCTCAGGGTGTTAAATATTCTGTCTATATGCTCTAGCATGGTTTTGTGTAACATGGCTTCTCCTCTATCTGCAACATGTCACCTCCAGTTGTCTTGTGGTTGTAGTCAGGACATGTTCCATCAGCAATGGGTTCAGGGTTTGTACATGCTCTCACTCGAGACTTGATCCCACTTCCACATGATGCTGAACAAGATGTGAATCCACTCCACTCCCCCCAGCCCCCAGGAGTTGAAATTTGTTCCTTGATCCAGTCAATATAGTTTGCTACTTTTGTATAGACCCCAGAGCCTTTCCCACACGAGCCTTCTGGTCCCCAACTAACTATGCCATGTTGATACCATGTTTTCTCAACTCTACACATCAAAGGGCCCCCTGAGTCCCCAGAACATGAGTCCATTTTATTAGCACTTGCACAAAACATATTGTCTGTAACTTCCCTTTTATCGATAGAAGTACAATCATCCTCAAAATTGATTTCAGCTTCTAATAAATTATCAGAATATATATAATCCCGACAGAGTCCTCCCTTTCCTGCTGTATCTCCCCACCCTATTACTTTGCAAAATCCTTTTTTCAAATTCTTAATAGTTTTATTAAATGTGTCCGTTGGGAGTTTTATTGGTGTTGTGTGGTTATTGAACTCTAGTGGTGGGTCAATAGAAATTATTGCAATATCATTATTAAATCTTGCACCCCTACCATAATTGTCATGTTTTTTGATATGAGATATGTTAACTGTGCGACTCCGTGCTAAAGGCTCCCCCAAATCAGAAATTTTATGTTTTCCTGTCTTTACTGTTACTCTATCGTTCTCATCAATCCAATCGAAACAGTGTGCTGCTGTTAAGATATGTCTCGGACTGAGAATTGTTCCCCCGCAACGACAGTTCCCTTTATCTAGATAAACCATCCAACGATAATTATGTTCAGGATAAACCTCAGTCCCATTTAAATTTATGATAATTGGTTGTATCTCAGTTAGAGCAATACCAGGCTGTGGGCATTGGGCTGGGAGTTGGGCTGGTAGTTGGGGATTGCAAGTTTTCATCTCTTGTTCAACATCTTGAAAATGTTGTGGATCATTTTGTGTTCTAAGTGCACTGTTGCAGCGTCGTATTCGGACACTTTTACCACACATGTTACTCTGAGTACATGGAGAGAATGGAGAATAGCTACCTATAAAACATTGGAAAAAATCAAATCACTAAATTGTCACAATTCAATCATACAATGACAAGTTATTTCTCAATCACGTTCAATTGGTTTGTGCATAATATTGCTCTTTGAATACTTCAAATACAATACATTAAATATAACTTAGTGATTGATTACATATACATGTGTAGTATGAACTTTCTTTATTCAATCCCTATATTTGCAGTCCTTGAGGTAAAATGAGTAGATCCCCAAGAAAATGAAATTTGTCACTTGAAAAACAAATTTTGTAAAAAATATTCATCACTTTGTTTTGATTTTTGCTCTTTGCTTTGCAATTGCTTTTGAAATGCGAATAATTTATGTGTGAAAACTTACCATAACTTCTACAGCTGTTATTGCACTTTTCGTTGTCACATTTTTTCTTATTGCCAGATTCACATGTACATTTTGTGCAGCCATCAGACTCAGTCCATGGTCCACCAGTTTTTGTTCTTGTGTTCCCCAAATCATCTTGACAATAGCATTCTTCGCAGCACACACTGTATCGATTTGCTCTTTCGGTAATGCAGACATATCCACCTGGGCATCGCTGGCTTCCTCCTCCACGACATTTCCATGGTGCGTTAGTGTCAGGTTTATTTAATATTTCACAGTATTTTGGTAGTTTGTATTGGCAACATTTTCCTTCCTTAACAACACACTTGTATGTGTTTGGGCAACTCCTTCTATTCTTTTTGCTGCATGTCCCGCCTTTGTATTCTTTACATATCTTAGCACCCAATATCTCAGTTGTCATAATCAGAAGCAAAGTAGCTACAAAATATGTTAGCCTCGTCATGACTCCCTTCTGTTCTGGTGTCTGGGTACAACTGATGTCTCCGTGGCAACTGAATGTTAAATATTGTATCTAATACGCCTCTCTACATTGAGGACTTGTGGCGAAGAGTTAATTATTATTATATCCTGCTAGAGTCACCTTTTTGCATACAGGATTTCAACGAACCATGGTTAACTAAACAAACACAGGTGGATATAAACAGCCTATGCAAAACGTTTATGTTAATCAAACTTTAAAGTCAAATTAAGGTTGAATTTAAAAAGTGGCCTTTACAAAGTATGCAAAAACTCTTAATCAGAAGGAACTACCAAGGAATTGATAGTTCATTTAAATTTCACAGAGATGCAATAGAATTGAAATATAGGCATTGACACATTATTGACAGTCTTATTTGACTTGCAACTCTAATATGATAATATATAGTTAGTTCTTATTATTCTATTGCAATACAAATTAGTGGTCTGTTTTATAGTTTATAATATGTTGGGAAAATCTCAAACATGCTAGACAACATCATAATAACAAAACTCTGAAGGAATCATCAAAACCTGCCATTAATGAAGAATATTCCCACTTCCTAATCCATGTGTATACATTATACAGGCCCGTAGCCAGGATTTGCCAAGGGGGGGTTCAATTTTCAAAAATTTCCATTTGACAATTTTGGCCCAAATTAGGTTAAAATCACTTGAGAAGTGCTCAAAATGGTCAAAAACTGCATGATTTTGAAAGAATTTTTGGCCAGGGGGGGGGGGGGGTTCGCCCGAACCCTGCGAACCCCCCCCCCCCCTGGCTACGGGCCTGTTATATTCATTATTATGGGTTTGTGATTCTGTAGAAAGAGGATCAGTTTATCTTAACTCTTCAAAAAAAATCGTTAATATCATAGTACAATGTTACATAAACATCATAAACATTGTACTATGATTTTGAAGAGTTATTAAAATCAATTTTAATAGAAAATACTGCTAGTCAATAATAAACATTTATATTTTGAGATAATCCCTTTTAAAAATAATAAACATTTAAATTTTGAGATAATCCCTTTTAAAAATAATAAACATTTAAATTTTGAGATAATCCCTTTTAAAACTACATGAATGAGGAAATGATAGAAATTAAAAAGACCATTAATAAACATTAATTAGTTTGTATTTTGAGATAATCCCATACTGTACATACAAAATGAGGATGTTTCTGAATGCCATAAATCAACTCTTGATGAGCTGATCATGATGTATACATATTAGTTTAATGCTTTTTACAGCGTACCACCCTCTTACAGAATGAATTTCAACATGTTCAATATATGGTGTATTTCTACTTGATGTTTTCACTAATGTAAAGGTATATCCTCATTTCAGAGAGGTTGTGATCTTTTCTAGAAACCAAGGTCTCTTGGGTACAATCCAACCCTTAGACTCAATCCCACTCTTGGGTTTAATCCCACTTTTGGGTACAATCCCACTCTTTGATTCAATCCCACTTTTGGGTACAATCCCACTCTTGGATTCAATCCCATTTTGGGGTTCGATCTCACTCTTGGATTCAATCCCACTTTGGGGTTTAATCCCACTCTTTGATTCAATCCCACTTTTGGGTACAATCCCACTCTTGGATTCAATCCCACTTTGGGGTTCAATCTCACTCTTGGATTCAATCCCACTTTTGGGTACAATCCCACTCTTTGATTCAATCCCACTTTTGGGTACAATCCCACTCTTGGATTCAATCCCATTTTGGGGTTCGATCTCACTCTTGGATTCAATCACACTTTTGGGTACAATCCCACTGTTGGATTCAATCACACTTTGGGGTTTAATCCCACTCTTTGATTCAATCCCACTTTTGGGTACAATCCCACTCTTGGATTCAATCCCACTTTGGGGTTCGATCTCACTCTTGGATTCAATCCCACTTTTGGGTACAATCCCACTCTTGGATTCAATCCCACTTTGGAGTTCGATCCCACTCTTGGATTCAATCCCACTTTTGGGTACGATCCCACTCTTGGATTCCACCCCACTCTTGGATTCCATCCCACTCTTGAATTTGATCCCATTTTTGTGTTTGATCCCATTCTTGTGTTCGATCCTACTCTTGAGTTCGATCTTACTCTCGGAATCAATCCCACTCGGGTTCAATCCCACTCTTGGGTTCGATCCTACTCTTGGGTTTGATCCCACTCTTGGGTTCAATTTCACTCGGGTTCAATCCTACTCTTAGGTTCGATCCTACTCTTGGGTTCGATCCCACTCTTGGGTTCGATCCCACTTTTGGGTTCAATCCCATACTTAGGTTCGATCGCACTCTTGGGTTTGATTCCACTTTTGGGATCAATCGCACACTTAGGGTTCGATCCCACTCTTGGGTTCAATCCCAATCTTGGGCTCAATCCCACTATTGGGTTCAATCTCACTCTTGGATTCGATCCCACTCTTGGGTTATGGGTTCAATCCCACTCTTGGGTTCAATCCAACATTTGGGTTCGATCCTACTCTTGGGTTCAATCCTATTCTTGGGTCCGATCCCACTCTTGGGTTCGATCCCACTTTGGGTTCGATCCGACTCTTGGGTTCGATCTTACTCTTGGGTTCGATCCCACTTGGGTTCGATCCCACTTTTGGGTTCAATCCCACACTTAGGTTCGATCCCAATCTTGGGTTCAATCCCACTCTTGGGCTCAATCCCACTCTTGGGTTCAATCCCACTCTTAGGTGCACTGACTTTTTCAAATTAGCTTTTATCACATGATTTCATCAACTAAAATCAATAATTTCAGGGGTTTGGTTTTGTGTCTGAGCTGCTAAGGCTGCAACTGTATAAAAGTTGTGGTCTGTGACTGACATTGATAGCTTTCGCTTCAGTTTTAAAGCCACTAGAAATAATTCATTCCTACATTATAACTTTGTGCTATATTGGCTTGGGTTCGTGAGTGCGTGTCTGTCTGGTCTGTCTGAGTATGTGGGCAGACACAACATAAATCTTGTCATAAAAATACCAGGAAAACCACCTGTCTGTTTGACTTGAAATTTCTAGATGCAAATGCAAAGATCCGATTAGATTTTGGGAATGCTGGGTGAATTTACGGAATTACTTGATGGCCAATTTGAATTTTCAATAAAAAAGTGTGATCTTCACTGAATGTCTTGTTCCATCGTTCACTTTGTTATAAAGGAAGCAATTTAATGAAGATAATTCAGGAGTGATCGCTAATGTATGGTTAACTGCCTACATTGATGATCCTGTTGGAGACAGGTGTTTACATATGCCAATCCTGTTTCAGTGCTTTGCTATGATATAAAGTTTGAATAAAACAATGTTGTGTGTATGCACATAACCCTCAATGCAAATTCACTCTAAACACAATCATATGAATTTGAATATTAATTAAGTACCAATGATTATGTTTCCGGTAATTTATAGTGATGTGCTCCCACATAATACCAGTCGTTTTTCTACATTCTTGTATGTGTTCTTTATTGTTTGATATCTTTTTCATTGATCTTGATCGCTCAATCAAACACACCAGAAGTAACATCCCGGCCCTACACACATTAAGCCCAACTGGCAACTTAGCCAATGATGTTTTCAATTGCCTGAATTTTCTTAACATTTTGAATGGTACAATTTATAAGTTTAAGGTACTGGTGGAAGGAAAATATTTTTGAAAATATTGCTATACCTGCACATTTTTGGTACAAAATAAAGTATGAAGGCATATGTTAATATCCTTGCTTTTTTCAGGAAAGTATCATTACATTGTTTTCTTTTAGTAAATCTGGTAAGAAATCAAGGTTAACTCCAGGAAATGCTGATATTTCAAGAAAATGGCTGCCTTTTCAATTTTCCATATTTCTTGGATTGCCATTGACCACTTACCAGATATACTAAAAGAAGGCAATGTGATGATACTTTTCAGAAAAAGGGAAGGAAAAACACTCATGCCTTCATAGTTTATTTTGTACCGGAAAATAACATGTGCAGGTATAGCAATCCTTTCAAAAATGATTTCGTTCCACCATTACCTTCAATGCAGTAGCTTGCACACTGCATTAACCCTTTCCCGACGTGAATATAAGAGGAAAATGTTGTCCCCAGTGACAGATAAGTAAGAGTGTTTTTTAGGGGAAAACTGCAAAATACCTATGCCCTGGGACCTATACCTTGGATTTCATCACTGATATACACTTTTTAGTAAGGATTATCACATAAGAACAACTTGTCAACATTTGGTGTAAAAATACTGAATAGAACTGGAGATATTGTCATTTCATTGATGTATACACCCTTGGTATACGCAGCTAACGAAAATTGACCGGTACGGGTCAAAAGCTGGACCGGTACGGGTTAAAGGTTTTATTTGAATTTAAAACAGCCATAACTTGCTCAATATTGACTTCCTCGTGTCTAATTTGAAATATATGATGCCTCCCGATGCTTTTAAGTACCCCAATTTTTTACAGATTTTTAAACGGACCAAAACTCTCTAAATGCGCATTTATGTTCTTTTCTCTCGAAAACGACTGTCTCATTTTCACGATAACTTTTATTTAGTACTTCTAACATATAAGATCTATTTTCCCCCATCAAGGTATGATGTAAATGACATGCTAATTACATCTTGTGAGTTTCAATGACGCGCGTTTGATTTTATAAAAAATGCCAAACTTTGTGACAAAGAATTTCATCAGCTATTGCCCCGAACCGGTCCGTCTTCTCGCTGCAAGGAGATTGCCCCGAACCGGTCCGTCTTCTCGCTGCAAGCAGGATGAAATTCTTTGTCACAAAGTTTGGCATTTTTTATAAAATCTAACGCGCGTCATTGAAACTCACAAGATGTAAATAGCATGTCATTTACATCATACCTTGATGGGGAAAAATAGATCTTATATGTTAGAAGTACTAAATAAAAGTTATCGTGAAAATGAGACAGTCGTTCTCGAGAGAAAAGAGCATAAATGCGCATTTAGAGAGTTTTGGTCTGTTTAAAAATCTGTAAAAAATTGGGGTACTTAAAAGCATCGGGAGGCATCATATATTTCAAATTAGACACGAGGAAGTCAATATTGAGCAAGTTATGGCTATTTTAAATTCAAATAAAACCGTTAACCCGCACCGGTCCAGCTTTTGACCCGTACCGGTCAATTTTCGTTAGCTGCGTATACCAAGGGTGGTATATAAATAAAAATAATGGTGCCAAAAGGAGCCTGTCGTCCTGAAAGGTATTACATAATAAGGCTCCATATGGAGCCTATTGTCGTGAAAGGGTTAAACCTCTTACAGGCCAGGCACCTTCAAAATATCAATCAAAATTATTTGAACAGTGGATGTTCAGTTTACATTTGTGCTATTTTTGGTATATTAGCTACTGATTTTGGAGCGTAAGGATTGACTATAATAAAATAGATGATAGAAAATTCATTGTGCAATTCACCTGATTTTCATTTAAAGTCATTAACATTGGAAGTCCCCTAAGGGAATTTGCTTACAAATACAATTGTACTGAGTTCAGTGTAATTGTTGATTGTAATTGTTGATTAATGACTTGTTACAACTTTAAAGTAGGATAGCAT